GTAGGGTAGAGATTTGTGTACATTCTGAGCATTCTTCATGAGCGGAGCAACAGTGGAGGTGAAATTAATCCCAATCAATCACTACATGAATTTATAAAATTTGTGCGACTGTTCTGGCGGATAAAGTTAATCGAGGTCTTCAAACTCCTCACATATAGACAGAACACCGATAAAAATCATCACTCTCTTTCCTACTTTGGAAGCATGCAAATAGGCATACCGTATGAATTAACTGAAAATGGTAGAGTGACTTTGCTCTTTTAGGTACAAACACTCCCAAGATCTTACATTTATGAAATAGTCATTCTTTTTTAGGGATATCAGCGGATCTTAGGCGATATAAAGCAAACACTCGATCGCCGACGAGTCCTGGAAGAGTACTATTTGAAAGTTAAAGATAACCTACAGACAACTCGAGCAGTGAGCGAGACTGAAATAAATGACTTTCGGAAGGAAAGGGATCTCGCAACCGAGAGATACACTGTTCTCATTCTTGGTAAGTCTTGCAACAGTAAACTTGAAACCATTTTAATCGTTCCCATACAAAATTCAGGGTTTTTCCCCAAGTTTTCTTTGGTTAGGTCATGATTCACCACTCTCACTATTGAACTTTCATTGTCGGCATCCTCTTGAAACGAAAACCATGGAAAACTGTACTCCTCTTAGAGTGGGCTAGTCTGCACCATAATTTTTCCGCCTCGCGATCTTAGCAGTCCTCCAGCAAGCGACCCTCTGATAACTTTGAGACGAGATCATGGGGGAAAATAAAACTGAAAATAACATAAAATAATTGAAGTGTTGAAAGACTAAGGAACACTTCAATTAGTGCTTCAAAGGACATTACCGCTAGGGCATTTTGGTAATCATTTTCAGAGTAACCCATGTAGCTCGGCCGGGGTCCGAAAAATAATCTGTCTGAATTTACAAATCGCTTTTAATCTAAGGGTGTAAAATTTTCAAAGATTCCCTATCGTAGGAATGAAATTCATGTTTCTGTCTTTAAAACCCCTCCTATTTTCCTGCAACAGGATAAACCAGCGCTGGCAAAAGCAGTCTCATTAACCTCTTACTTAGCAAACGCATTATGCCAACTAGTATCAAGCAGAGTACATTGACTATATGTGAAATATCATATGGAGTGACCGAAGAGGCTGTCCTGCACTTGGCTAATAGAAGCAAGCCATCTCGTGTCCTTACCGGGGAGAGATTTTACGAGTATGAAGATTACATTCAAAAACCAATAGAGGATGAAAACTGGTGCGAGAAGATAGAGATCAGGATTCCAAATCCACTATTAAAGGTGACAAAACTTTTTGCGAACGTACAATAAAAGTAATAGGGGTATTTCATGTATTTCCACAGTCGTTCCAAACTCACCTCTCGAAGAAAAGCGAAAGATAATTCATGAAAGTGACACGCGTTGTGTGACGCAGTGTTAAGCTACGCGACGAACCGTTGAGAATTTGAACGTGCTGTGAGGAATGGTATATGGAACGAAATATGGTCGCTTTACAACACTTAATGTTCCGAAATATGAAAATTTCGCGCGTAAGATTGATAAAACTTTCTCACTCCGTATGTGTGCTTTGTAGTTTTTGGCGATTTCTGCCGTTTTGGGCTTGCTTTGCCATCACTGTTTTTCCTGACTCCGTCATGTAACAGGCATAAGTGCTTTAATATAACCCACAAAACGCTTTCCTCTCACCTTCCTCGATCCCTGTAGTATATGGGCAACATCATCAGTAAAGTCGGTGTACAGCTTTAGCTTTCAGGGGCCTCTTGAATGCTTTGAATCGTCAGACGTTCTAGGTTGTAAATGTGCTGTGTTGTGCTGGCACCTTTCTATTCTGTATTGGGCTGTATGCTCTGTTGCTCGCCTCTATACCTACACCGAAGGTGGTAGCGAATAAGAGAATTCGCACCACGAGTTTATGCACAACCAAAAAGCAGAAAAGTTGGTCACTCTTCATTTATGATCAATTCCTTCTTAACTAACAGCTGTTCTCTCTTCTAGGGTGGTGTAGTGATCGTGGGCAGCCCTGGAATTGGCGATTCGGAGCGTGTCAGTGAAATCACCTTGAAATACTTATGTCGAGCCTACGCCTTTATTAACGTGATAAGCACTCCAAACGCTGGAGGATTACAAGAGGACAGGGTAAACTTGAGACTCGTTTTTTGTCTTATAAATTGTGGAGGAGTTACATTATACTTATTTTACCACAAGGTATGTGTCGCTTATAGAGACACACCACCCGAATTTAATAGTTTCAACAAAAATCCCCGTACCAAACACGTTTTTCTATTCTTTAAATTAAGTTTTCGCGATAAATCTTTCAGCTGATGCCGATCTTGAGCGAATGGATGGGACTCTACAAGGGAAAAGATGGTTGTGGTATCACTTTCGAATCTGCTATTTTCGTCTGTAACAAGTGGGACGAGGTGGAAAAGCAATCTAACCGAAATTATAACATAACCAAAGTAAAGCGCGCGCTCTGATTGGTCAATTGAGCGTCCCCCATCTGCCCATGGGTGTACGCTCCTGACGTGAGCAAATGCAAAGACTATTTTTCCGCGCGCGCTTGTTTTTTCTGGTCGCGTAAGGTTTGTTAAATAAAAGGGAACTCTTTAGCTACAATATATCATTGTTATGTTATAAAACAAATGGTAAACACCACAGCGTACACTATTGAGTTATGGATNTAAAACAGAATTTTTGTACTTGAAAGTTTGATTTCATCTCCAAGCGGATCATTCAAAGACCTAAGATTTGTACACGATGTTTTAATTATACAATACCTTTCAGACACGCTGCTAAGGAAAACTTTTTCTAAGTTTCCTCAGCCCTTGAGGATAAATCTGTTTGTAGAAGCCAAGGGATGAAGATTATTGCTAATCCAACTGGATGTGACACTTTTCCATCGAAGAGGGCGTAGCAGATTCCTTATGAACTGAATAACTTTTTACGACCGGAAAGAGCTACAGAAAAATGTTTCCCAGTGGAAAGATTTAAATCGTTTGTCCCTTTGAATCTTGTGAGCTTATTAGTCTGATTTAAAGTAGTTTAGACCTTTTCTTGGTTTTCTTGATTTACCCTTTTAGGGGTGATTTGAAATTATACAGTCAGACAGATGCTGTGATCCTTCAACCTATTGGTCTTTCAAAATTGACACGTGTAGTATGAGACCATGACAGCCTGAGTTTTTAGATGAAACTCTCTTCTTTCACCATCAATTTGTAGCAAGAGTTTCTTTCTCTGGTAGCTTGTAATTAAAAGAAGTTAAAAGGCTCTAGAGGTATGGTACGGAAATAGTAAGCCGTATATGATTTCAGTAAACGAGAAACGCGATTGCATGTGCTTAAGCTGAATCAAGAAATTTGAAATCGCGCCGCAATCGCACGTTCATTTTCATTGAAATATAGTTAAAGGCGGCTCTTTTGCTACTTGTATCAATGCAACGTCCGCTCCCCGTGCACATTTATCTGATCGGCGAAGGTGTTGCTTTTTTTGGTGGTTGTGAAAAAAATTTTATACTATTGTTATTTGTCATTTGACATCCATTCCCAAGGTTGAGAGGCTGAAAGGAGTTTACACCTCTTCATTTCTACTTTACTCTGGATTAGTTCAGTGTAAAGAATATTGAACTGTACCTCTCCTTCACTGTTTCTTTGGCTAATACAGAAAGTAAGACGCATTAAATGGTTTTGGTCAATAGATTCAACTAATACACAGTCAGGTCGAGAATCGTATACAGATTTGGAGTCATGTTTTCTAAAATCTCTTTACGCCTGTCAATACTACTTCTGTCAATAAACGGAAATTCGTAACGATCAAGTTCACAATGGCACCGAAAGCAGTTCAGTTACGTCCCAACGGCAGTAGCGTTTTCCCAAACACGTTCAGCTCTCCGCTACAGGCAATTTGAAAGCTCTTTACTGAGATATTATAGCCAGTACAAACAAATAGACTCAAGTTTAATAACAATATCACTTAACTCAAACTGGAACACTGAGAATTAAAAGCAGGCGTAAACAATGGAAGTAAACTAATATCTTAATTGAACTTTTCCAATACTCTGTGCACGGTATCAACTGTGCCAAGTGAAGTATACGTCGTTTTATTTTTCCTGTTTTCGGAGTTCTTGAGACACTTCCTCAACACACACACACAGAAAAAAAAAACTCGCCAAATTATGTCTTGGACCGGCCTATGAGTGAAACCGTGAAATTCCAACCTTTCATTTTTTTAGTTGATAGTAATGGAATATTTAAGTAGTAGTTGCGCTACTCGATCTCGTGACTGCCGATTCACAAACGAAATCCTATCTACAAGGCAAAGATACGATTAAATAGACGCGTAACGCGATCGCATGTATTAAAAATAGGTCCGCAATGCGTATATGTGTGGCTTACGAAATTGAGCAGCTTTTCAGTGTCTGGTGTCTCAGTGAGTTTCTTTTAGAAGAGCTAATATCTGATTACTATTAGATAGTTTTCTATATTTCCCTGTTCATCAATAAAACAAGATAACTAGCATACAATAGTCCTGAAATGTTCATTTTCAAGTTGAGGGTTAATGGCCAAACTTTGTTATGGAGGTCACATTTTGACAACAAAGGTTGCACATCTAACCTGAGGATTTTAGGAAATTAAAAAATGTCAGCATCATCTCCCATAGTGGCCTGATAGATCCAGTCACGAGTTTGTCTACGTAACGAAGTGGAATTGAGTTCTGAAGTTCGTAGGTTGTCTTTTCCAAGGCAAGTGATCTGAAATTAACTCTAGGGAAGCATTTCACATTTATATTTTTGGCATTTTGTGTACCAGTATACATGAACAAAACCTCGCAGAAGGGTCAGGACATTTTGAAAATGATTTATTCATGTTAATTATAATTTATTAAAAAGAGGTGAAAGAGAATTTTTCATCGGCTAATTTAAAGGAAAACGGCTGCTGAAGATGCTTCTTGTTGGCTACACTAGGTTTTAAGAATAATTGTCCAGGGAACTGTCAATCAAATAAGGTACGTGTTAGCCATTGGGAACTTGATTTGGCTTGAATGCATGACTAACTTTGGACAATACATACATGTAAAGCAACACAATGCTGAGGGTAGGTTTCTATTTTCCATTAGAGCACAAAGTTCCCTATTCAATTGGTTGAGAGCAAACCATTAAGTATAATTATTGTGTTTGGGATTGACTGTATTTTCAATAAAAAAACACAGAGAAATTCTGTTGAGGTAGGTGGATATGGGGTTGCAAATGGACGAATTTAGAGAAAAAAGATAAGTGCATAACAAGATCAAAACACAAGCAATATTTTAGTGAATCATATGTTTAGTAGTACTCTGAAGTAACATTACATTAACTTTGCTAATAATTTGTAACCCGATGAGATTAAAATCAGACCTAGAGGTTTTACTTAACAGAAAGTTCAATAGAGATAGAGTGTCCCTATAATAGATATTAGGAACAGTAATTAGAGTTCAATGTACAGGCAAGTGCATGATAGTATCATATGAGTTAAAGTACCAGAATTTTTCAAGTTTTCTTATGATCGAAATTGTAATTTAATGCCAGTGTGGAGACATGAGATGAATAGGTGAACCGGACACCATCATGTAAATGGTCCTCTTAACATGCTATCAAAATTTTTCCTTCAGCTGAAATCAAACTCAGGAATGCAATTTTGTTAGTGTTTATCAATATTTATCAATATATATAAAAACATCCAAGCTTTCGTTTATTTTGGTCAGCTACTGTGTGTATCAATCAGTGCAACCTACTTCAGGTAAATCTGATTGGTTTCTAGTGTGATCCATTGTTGCTGACCCTAGTTTACATTTGTACATCAATTTTGCTCTTGTGATACATGAAAAAGGCACCTAGCTGTTTTCAGCCAATCAAGAGTGTAGTTTTTCATGTATATCAGTATTGAGATGAATCAACCAAAGCCAAAGAAGGAACTTAAAAGGAATCGTAGTCTACCAAATAAAGGCCTAATATACAGGTATTACTACCAAGTTTAAATATCAATGCTTATCTGAACCATTATGAAGAGAATTTAAAAGACTGCCAAGCTTATAGGAACTTATGAAATGTTAAGGTTTGAATAATTCTGGGCGTTACCTGGAAAACACACCGGTAATAATAATCACAATTCAGTTGTAACATTAAACTACTGGGCTCCTATTTGTATTTCAATAAAAGCGAAACCACTTTTTTATTGAGTTTCAATGTATTACTTCCTCAAAGTTTAGAGTTAATCATAATAGACATTTAGCACCAACTTTCATAAAGCTCGTCATGTTTTCATGTTTTCATGTTAACGACACACCGCAGTTTTAGGTTAGGCGTTAGACGTTTGTGAATCGGTTTAGCAATGTAAACATGAAAGAATAATTTTACTTGAAGAGGCAGTCATATTGAATTTCCAGATAACAGCAGTGTTTGATTTTTAAATGGCAACAAAAAGTCCTATTTTCCCTCATTAGCTAAAAATTGTGTTTAAGCATGTACTAAAACGAGTGATTAAGTAATTTTCTTACTGAGCATATAGTATGAACAGAATTTCAGGATACTGAAAAACCTTCCAGTAAATGACTTACGTGAAACCGCACCGCTTAGTCACGTAAATTCTAGCGGTACCTAAATTGGGTAAAACAAGAGACTACTTCATTCCAGATTTTGTATTGTCCAACAACTCGTTTCAATGTTGGTAAAAAGAATCCTCGCTGTAATTCACACTAAGAAGACAAGCCGACTTTAGGAAAGCCGGCATGTGAAATCTAAGCAACAAAGATGAACCAATAACTAGATAATAAACGATCTTTGACCAACTGTTTCACCCATGGCCGCTTGCTTAAAAGCTTTAAAGCTTACGTAACTTAGCCGAGCATAGACTGGAACCTATCCTTGACGATGTATACCATGTGACAAGCGCTCTGTTCACCGTGACAAATCCAGCCATCCCGTTCAAATACATACAATTGCGATTTCTCTCCTCTTTGCATTCATGCAGTTCCTGCTTCCCGAACAAATTTAGGTAATCAGCGAATGATTCCTTATGTTTTTTATATCTGTCAATTGCCATCCGTCAATTTTGAAAAGTTTAATTTAAAGGTAAATCTCGCTGATTCCTTCTTCACTTTGGGCCAGTTCAGTGTACAGCCACTTGAGCTTCACCACTCCTAAGCTGCTTTTTTGGTTAGTACAAGTTAGTACAACGGTTTTGTTCAACAATTTCAACTAATTCCTAGTCGAGAATCGGAGACGGATTCGGAGTTACGTTTAATGGAATCGCTTGATGCTCGTCAATAACACTTCTGTCGTTACAAGGAAACCTCACGATGGCGACGAGAGCAACACACGGACTTCTTGACGAGGTAAGCGCTAACCTAACACGTCCAATTCTTAGCTACATGCAATTTGAAAGCTCAGCATTTAGCATTGGATTGCTCATGGAAATAAATGGTCTTATGTCAGTTTCGATATTATTCAAATTTTTGCTCTATGAGAACAATATTCACGAAACTCAGAAAAGAATTAAGACTTAGAATTCTAAGCACGTAGGGGTTAAACACATGAGGTAAACTGATCTTTTAAATGAATTTTCAAATACTCAATGCATGCTTATCAAATGTGCCAAGTTTGGAAAACAACAGAATGGTAGGTTCCCTTGCAAATCGACCGCTACTGATGACAAACTACCTATATGTTTGATTAGATGTGCGTATTTCTAACCCGCCAACAGAATGTGTCTACTTGTGACAATTCAGTGAAACATTGCAACCTTTGTAACGCATTCAGACATTGAGTATCACTATATTACTGAATTTCTGCCAGTTATAAAAGAGTCCGAAACAAATTCGTATAACAAGGATGGGAAGAAACGAAAAATATGACTGATATCGAGCAAGCAGCGTGGCACTTGGGTATAAAATTTCCGCATCAGATCAATTGATATGTCTGCAGCTGAAGAAACAAATAGTCAACCTTTGACTTCAACTTTTCAAGATTTCATTGTATTAAAAAGCGGTTCTCGTGAATATTGTCCCACGATGCGTTGTTTTACCCTTGGGCCAGCACTCCATTCAAGGCCGAATTCTTCGACACATCATCTAAATTTAGGGTTGGTTTAGCATTTCTATCTCATTTCCCAATTCTCCTAGACGGTTTTAATGTTTGTTTACGTCAGAACACCGCCAAATATGGTGAGACATCAGTCTGAAAGTGGTCTGACTGATTAGCATATGCGAAGATTATAAACGACAGCGTTCAATTTTCCCTTCTCATCGCTTCGGATATGCATGGGGCTGCTTAGTCGATTGTTGAAAATACGTTTAATATGAGCATAAATAGTTTGTTAATTATAATTTATCAAAAAGAGGTGAAAGAGAATTTTTCATCGGCTAATTTAAAGGAAAACGGCTGCTGAAGATGCTTCTTGT